ACTCAATCTTTCTATGAAACCTTACTATAGAAATTTTAATAAGTAGCAAATGTAATAAAGCTGTTTAATCCCAGGATCATGTGGTATTGCTTTTCAGGTTAATTATTTATGTGGAATTCAGAAGAGCAGAATGAACTCTGGATCTTTTGAATATTGACTCCTGTTGCCTTTAAGAAATGAATGTAATTATTCTGCTTTTCAGTGTAGTCTTTTTTTCTACAAAACTGAGTACAACTTCTTCTGATTTCAGATCTTGAGCCCTTTTCATCCAGCTTTTTAAAATGTTCTCAAATGTACATACTTTTATTCAGTCCTGTTACTCATCTCTGTTGTGCTTAAACTGGAGAATGTTCCTTGGGCTTTCTCTGTCACCTATTGATAAGTCTATTCCCATTTTCTTTCCCTGTTCACCTATGCAATGCTGGGTGTCCGTACATTACTGTAGACTCCTTACAATATCACTTCAGATCTGTTTGCTGTGATGCAGAACATGAACTTGTGTAGTTTGCAGTAGTTCACCTGAGAAGAAGAGTCCTGAATAGGAGCACCAGCAGCACCTAAAGATGATGTACCTGCTTCATTCTTGTACAGATGTGAGAGTAACTGACTTATTTACCTGTTCAAAATGAAAGAACACATTGAAAAGAAGCTAGCTGGGTAGCTGTGCAGTCACTTTCTTGGGAGGAAGAGCACATTTTACCTGTGGCTGACAGATGCCTCATCAAGCCTGAAGGCAAATTTCGGTGCCTGTGAAGGCTGATTCACAGTGGTGTCAGTAGGACTGCAGTGGACACGCACTGTGTCGAAGGATGTTGATGCAGCGTTGGCCTGTTTCTCAGAAGGATGGCAACCTTCAAGCTGGAGAGAAGCAGTATTCCCTGCTGTATAAACCTGACTTGGAGAATTAAACTGAGTATCCAAAAGCAAAGCTTAAACCAAGTGAGAGTGCAACAGGTTGTAGGAATGTATACATTCAGCCTACATAAGGAAATTCACAGCTGTGGCTGATTGACTGACCTCAAGCAGCAGGGAGGTTGTGGAGGTGATATTGTTGAAACCCAGGCTATGGTTTATTAATGAGCTTGCCCAAAGAGAAACCCCGTGAGAAGTAGCGTTGCTTTGCCACTGGTGCTCAGATGTGATATTCAGCCTATACGCTTCTTGACTTCATTTTTCCATGTGTTTTTTTTTTCTTGTTTTCTTCATGCTGTGACATTTAGTCTGACTGACATTTTCAAATGTACAATAATAGAGATCTGTATCTTTTAACCTTAAAAAGAAAAAAAAATGTAGGATGCTTTAAGTGGGCTTCTATGGAATCATGTTGGGTCAGAGCTGAGGGGGGAAAAAATAATCTCAATTTGAAAGCAGGCGGAAGGCAACTGAGGAATCTGTGACCAGTGATTGCATAAATTTTTGCTCTGAGTTGGAGCTGACGCAATAGCTGGACTTTGGCACTGTATGCAATCTTGGACTTTCTTTTTTCTTTCTCATTTTTTGCATACTGTGTCTTTTTACACTCTTAATATTTCTCGTGTTGCCATGTGGACATCTTATTCTATTGTGCTGTGCAGCTTAGCTTTCTGTTCCCTGTAACATTGTTTGTATACAATTTTGGGGGTTTGTTGGTTTTATTTTTCTTTAAGAGGCATGATAGCCTTCTGAGTTTGAAGATTTAAGCACGTGCTGACTCAGATGGTGACACTGCATAACCATTTGATGGTTATGATGCTGAAATCAAACAGTGGCTAAGATTAATCTGTTTAACAGCTGGAAGTTGTGCTATTGTAGCAAAACAGTAACAATTTGAATATGAGTTACCTTTTTCTACCTGTTTTGAATTATGAAAGCATTAGTGCATTAGACTTGCTGCCTAGTTTTGCTTTGCTTTATTCTTTTAATATTTCTTGCAAATTAAAGATGGAAATGTAGTTAAACAATTCTCTAAAGGTCACACATCTTGTTTTAAAGCTAAACGAAATATTTACCAGAGAAAGACTTTACACAATATTTACATGTAGCTAGTTATTCTTTAAAAAAAACAAATCTGGAATTTATTCAGTTCATTTCATTATGGTTTTTTCACAAAAATTATATTAGGCATGTTGTTTGGTTTTCTGAATGAAAATTATATTGACCTATTAGCATTACATGACTGTACAGACACTTTGAGGAGGTGGTGTTTGTTGATGAGGCTGGCCAACACAGCCCTCCTACCACCAGCTTATTCCCTTATTGCAAAAAAGAGTTATTCCAAAAAGAGTGAGTCTTATTCCAAATAAAAATTAAACATTCATTCAGTAAAACATTCATTGCAGAAGGTGGCAATGAGAACAGTCCAGAGGTTTTCGCCCAGTTAAAGAGCTGAGTCCTGTGGCACATGGGGTGATGGGCTCGGACCAGCCCCAAAATAACTGGCTAGAGTGCTGGCAGCAGGACAGTGAAAGCCTGGCTGCCACCATGTGCTGTGGAAAAAAGAACATGTCATCGGTGCTCATAGCCAGCTCTGCCTGTTATTGCTGTGTGTGACATTGCTGGCAGCACAACTCAGTGCAGAAACCCACATCTCCAAAGTGGTGGGACACACTTATCTTTAGCCATGGCACGTTACCCAAATAACTTGGGGATATAGCTGCACAGACTGCACTGACAAGTGAGTCTCTGTCTCGATGAGGTACTTTGGGTTCAAAAGAGGTGTTCCCAATAATCATATGTCAAATCAGTCATATTTATCTATGAAACTCTTTCTCCTTGGATGCTGGAACAGAACTGATGAAAAGTTAGGTGTTGTCTCTTTAATGTTTTTACCATTTGCTTCTGCCCTTCCTGCCTGTCTGCATCTGTGTTTGTCTCTCGCATTATCTATCCCCAGATTATAAAATCTTCAGAGGGTGCATCGTCTCTTTGCCTGGCAGGGCTTCCCCCATCCACCTTCTCAGCTCCTGAGGCTTTGTTCTGATTTTTCCTCCCTTTGGTAGGCAATACCCTCAGTGTCATCACTTTGAGAGCTGGCCTTTTGCAGCTTTTTGTTTTCAAAATGTACTGTTTAGTAATTAATCTCAAATGAGAGCAAGTCAATTCTGTTAGATAGTAATGTATAATGAATTGTGGTATAAACAAAGAATGTACGTAAGCTGCACACTTGCATGAGATGGGCCTTCTTTGGGACAGTTTTGTGCACAGCATTCCTCCTGTGAAGTTGCTTTGGGTAAAACAAGAAACAAAGGTTTTGATATGTGAAACTATGTGAGAGACAGGAATATAACTGCTTGGTGGGCAAAAGCAAAGATAAAATTAGTAATAATTGTAGTTTGTCAATAAAATGATTGATTAAAAAAAAAATTAAATAGAAAGCATTTGTGTGGTGCCAGAACTGAGGTTACCTATTATAACTGCTATGGATTAATATAAAACTATCACAGACTCTGTCATACCACACAGCTTTAAATAGCCTTGCCTTTGCATGTGAATACATTCCTTACTGTTCCTCAAGCCTTTTATTTATTTATGGAGTTTTTGTAAAGGCAAGAGAATTGGATTATACGTTATGCTAAACACATTTACTTATTATTGTTGTTTCAATGTACCGCTTAAGGTCCCAGTAAGAATTTTAATTTTGTTTATTTTTTTAAGAAACTTTTTTTTTTTTTAGGTAAAAGTTTGCAAAAGTGGCTATTTTTTTTAATTTTGACAATTCAGACTGTTCAGGATGACCAAAGGAGAAACGTTATTTAAAAACTGAACTTCACACTTAGCCTTTTCCGTATGTGTTTTCCTTTCTTTCTGTAGAGAAAGGATGCACAAAGATAGTCCTCTCGATCTAGGAAACAGATGATAGCACACAAAGCCCTGTTTTTATGTGCACTGTGGTGTTTTGACTTTTAATTAATGGTGTTTTTTTAACAACTTCAAAGTAAGTTAGTAGAAGAGGGGTGAGATCAGATGGTGTCTGATGTCAGCAAGTGAAAATGGAAGAGGGTCATCTGACCCTTATTGTGTGTAAGAAGGATGGGGGATTGTATCTCTTAGTATGAATTTTTTTTAGTTGGTCTTCAAATGAGAAAAAAAAATACAAGAAAACTCAAAAAGGAGGAGAATGTTATCTAATCAAAGCTTCTTAGTTAACTAATGACGTCAAGCAGTAACCTTCTCTTTCTCACCGTATTTCCTTTGGACTATAAACTATTCCATGCAGCTAGAAAATACCACATCCATCATAGCAATGTAGCCCTTTTCTGTGTTTCATTACGTGGTGGGTTTATCAGCACTGAGCATGGGAAGGAGATGAAGAATAATATCCTCTTTAATTGAATTTGCGGATTGGAATGTGGGGAGGAGGAACGGCCCATGCTGGTGCCTGGCCAGTGCCCTGGGTCACCAGCCTCCTGCTAATGGAAAACCCTTTAATGACTGTACCGACCAGGTGCCAGGATATGAAATACAGGTGCTTGGTATTGTACTAGTGCCTAATGTGGATTTTGAGCTACAACAGTAACAACGTAGGGACACGACCTGCACGTGGTCTTGCTCTGTGCTGACTTGACTGCTGTGTGTGAGAAAGATGAGCTCCGCTTGAGTGCGTAGGGAAATGCGGGCAGGTGTCAGACGTTATCGTGGAGAAATAAAAGCAATTCTTACCTTGAGGTGATTTTTTTCATATGACCTTGCTGTTAGAAAGAATAACTTTGCCTTCTGATATCGTTTTCAGCAGCACGTTACTTTTTCTGGCTGTTTCCAGTAAAAGTAGTGATGGTACTTAGGATGTTCAGGGGTGACCTCATGTGCACACGAGTAATTAGAGCAGGTGTAATTTTAAATTCTAAAAAAATAGCATGACATCTTTTTTTCTGAAAAGATAGCTGATAACTGTCAAATATTTAAAAATTAGCAGTGAAATTGCAGTTGGCAAGTCCTTACAGTAGCAATATTCTATGGCTTTTTTTCTTGATGCTTAAGGCAGTCTAGAACATGAGTGTCATCAATTTGGTTTTTTTCCTCAGAATATGGTGGCATGGGCTTGGACTTCTCCTATAGCATTGCAGTGGCAGAAGAACTGGGAAATATTCGCTGTGGAGGTATTCCTATGGCTATTGGAGTGCAAGCTGGAATGGCAACTCCTGCTCTTACAAGGTAATTTTCAGAAAGTTAGGTTTAGTCTAAAATCCATATCATCATGTGTTTAGGCTTAAAACCCAATCTGTATATGAGTAGAAAAAAAAACATTACTGTGGAGATTGACTGTCTAGTTGCTCTTTGGTAACGCTTGAGGAAGGAACCTACCCTCTATATCTCTGACAGTTTTGTTTAGGGGAGAAAATACATGGGTTTTTTTAAATGTTAGAATACTGTATATTAAAACACAGGCCTTTTTTAATAGCAAGTGATATGTTTACAAACACAGAGCCTTGGTGCCACAACCAATAAAACAGTCTTAATTCCAGAATCCCCCTATTCATGTTTGTGTTCTTTTCTTAGCCAGATATCCCAGTGCAGTTATACTAAGGATGCGTTTAGTTGTAATGATTAGGATCAGTCTAATTTTGTTGTATAGTTTACATGCTGTTTTCCATCTTTACAAGGAGGTTCTCACTGACTCTAACTTTTCAGAAATAATGATCAATATTGCTGTAAGTTCTAAGGTTGTAGTACATGTATCATGTTTCCTAAATAAACCCATTCCAGGCAATTACTTGTTTTGATTTTTCCCATCTGCTTGTGTCAGTGTTCCCCTTTTATCACTTGCTATCATTAGCGTAAGAGAAGCTGGGTTTTGCGCTTTTTCAAGAAGAGGCATATACTGAGTTGCTTTGCTCTAACGTTTGGTACTTAATTTGTATAGTGCACGTAAGGTAGGCCAGAGTGGAGACTGGTGTATATATATATATATAGGCACAGCTTTCAACCTATCATTAAAAGAAGTATCATTAAGCACTGTTGTCATGATGGCTGGTTCTGTGGCATGCAGAGCCAGTTCTGCAACTTTGTGGTTTTGAATACCTGTGAGGGTCCAACCTGGCCAGAGCAACACGGTGGGGTAACGTGAAGCCAAGCAGCTGCTTCTGAACCAGCTTTCCTCAAAACAGCTTCACACTATTTCTATACCTTTTGAGGTTTCTCCAGCTCCTGGTGACAGCTCGGCCGTGCTACGGTGGCAAGTTTTCTGGTGGGTGGCCTTGAGGTCTCCTGCTCCTACCATCCCAGCTCCGGACACCAGCCATATGAGTGATTTTAAAAACTGCATGATCTGAAGAGGGTAATCTTTAATATGACTGCTTTTTTCTTGCAATACCTGCGTTTTTGTGCAATATGCATTCAGTGCAACTGAAGCTAAAACTGGGAGCCAGAGCACTTTTGTTACTGTTTTTTTTTTCTTATGCCATTTTTCATAAAAAATAAATGTTTTCTAAACGCACTTTTTTTTAACTGGCGTGCTTTCTTATCCTGACTGAAATAGGGACTCAAGAAGAGAAAGCTGATTGCAGTGCGGATCCTTTTAAATCCAGTGAGGCTTCCATGCTGCCCAAGGGTACTTGCTGCTGTTCACCATGCATTTCTAACCCTTTCTGTACCCGTAAAGAGCATCCCTTCCCTTTTGTTTTTTCTTCCTTCTTTTCCTGTATCTTGAAGATCCAAGAAGTACTGCTAAACTGGACCTGGACATCAGATGGTAGGATGCCTGTGGAGGACTACCCTGAAGCAAAAGCATGGCACAAAGCTACTGCATTATTAATAGTCTTGAGTCTGGGAGCAGAACCAAAACAGAATTGTGAGAAATTCACCTCTTGCTAGTATGTAAGAAGCAAAGTCAATGCAGGTCAGAGTTACGCTCTTCTTTGCCTGAAGGAAATCTTCTCTATATTCCTAGGAAGTCCAGGAGTAATCTAGTGTGCCATCTTTGAGATACTGTAGATTAATGCATAGATCATGTGAAAAAACTGTTTTTTTCCTTTATTTTTGCTTTGGTGATGGGTAGTACTCGAATGTGTGAGCTCCAGTGAAAGAAAGCTTGAGTTGATCAGGTGCTGAGAGCCATGTTAAAACTATGTGCAGCTGTTCATATTCAGAATTTAAATTTGCACTTAATAGTGTATCATACTAGTGTATCTGTCAGTCTACTCAGAACTTTCCTTCCTAACTTAATTAATTCACTTCAGCTCAGCTTTTTTCCCCCTGAAGCAGAAGAAACAAAAGTGAACAAGATCTGCGATTCTACCAAGATAATTATCAGCACAATTAAGTCAGAATAGTGACGTGTGATAGACATATTTTCATTCAATGTAGCAATCTAACCTGTCAGAAACCTCATTTTTATGTATATTTGGGCTGAATAAAGGTGACTTCAAATTTCCAGTTGGCAGAGCACATAAACAGAACTATGTGGATCAAGGAAGTGTTCTTACATCTGTATTTTGCCATGGTTTTATTTTCCATTTACCAACCATTTAAAAGATTGTATACCATTGTCATTTTAGTGTTTATATTCATGACATTCCATCAATGTTGCTTAAATATTGTGGAGCAAGAAGGGATGGACCACTAACATGCAACTCGATGTGTCAGAATCTCACACTTGGGAATTCTGGGTTACCCAGCATCAACAAGGAGCTTTGTTTTATTGACTGTAGACTCATATGTGTGTGTAAACACACACATGTGCATGAAAATATATTTTAGAGTGATACTAAGGCTGCACAGTAAATCACATGGGAAGCTCTGCACTGGGGTATCACCCTGTCCCAGAACGCAGACATAGTCTGGTCTGTCTTGAGCCAGAGCATGATCTCATTGCAAACAGAGTGTTATAATTCTGGACCTGTTAAACTGGAAAGACATTTATGCAAACCTAAGATTTTTCTGGAATGTGTTTAAGATGGGTTCAATTTTACAGAAACAACATCTCTAACACAATAGCTAGCCGCTTGCTGAGCTGCATGTCCTTCATGCAAGACATAGAGACCCATGATCGTCTGAAGATAATATTGCCAGATTGGGTTATTTAATTGCAAAATAACTTCTTATGTAGCCTCATTTTTTGGGAAGAGCTGAACTGTTTTCTGAAACTTAAACTAAACAAAGATATCAAACCAAAAACATTATTCTGAGAAAAGTTATTGTGATGGAAATTCTGTGTTGAATTAACTAAAGGTTGGAAAGTTTTAAGCATCATATAGCATTGCCAAAAATCACTGCTAGCTCCTCTCATAATCTGATTTTTCATGTTGTTAATTGGGGTTTTTTATGGAATGTTCAGCTGGTCTTGCTTGATCATGTCCCAAGGAAAAGAAAACAGTACATGGCATAACAGACCTGGGGTCCTTTTCCCAGTATGCTGGAGGAAGGAGTAAACACTCCAAGCTTGCTTCTTGTATTTATTTAGGATTGCTGCCGTGATTGTTATCAGCAGGGACAGAAGTAGGAATTGAGCTCCCTGTGTGCACAAAGTGTTGCCAGCTCCCAGTCTGTTCTCTGGCCACCCCGTGTCCTTCGACTGTTTTGTGTCAGGGTTGGAGTGGAAAGGAAGAGTCAGAGTTAGCTACAATGGCATCACTCCTTTGGAAGTACTGGGACTGTGCTTTAGAAGGAGGTTCCAGGTAACTGCAGCCTGCTTGAGCAGCCAAAGGAGATAAGTGGAGATTCTGACCTGAGGAGCCTCACACTGAAGAGAAGACTGAGAAGGAGCTTCACTTCTATGGATTTCTGCTCGCAGAAGAGAGACATCTCATGACCTGAGGAATTTTTCAGTCTGGCAGAAGAGAGGTTTGAGGACTGGTCCATGACTTCACCATTGACATTGGGAGACCAAATCAGTGGTTGTTAATTAGGACAAAATCAACTATTGAATGAGATGGACCATGTTTTGAATCAATGAAGGTAGATAAATGTTGTAAAAAATGAGCTGAATTAAAATACGGACAAGTGAATATTTGTGTTAAAATGCCATCAGCAGTTTGCTGTTTCCTTTTTTGGTTTTGTGGGGACTAAAAGAACGGCTGGGAAGGAGCACTAATGTATTTCACTGTGTGAATTAAATGCAGATGTGAAATATGAATAACATAAATACAGATATTTGCAGAGCGTGACCATCACATGTCATAAGTTTTCAGTCACCACTAAAACCTGGCAAAGAGCTGGTACAAAAGTCAGAAGATATGCAGAGAGCATATCCTGTCTGACTGCAGACTGGTGCAGGATTGTTGACAGGAAACCCCAGGGACTATGTTTGTTTAGATCAGGTAACCCTCAAAATAATAGGCATAAAGGTTTTGGGCATCTAGACCACATGTTTCTGTGGGATTAAGATGCCTGAATACTTGTAAAAGCCTTGTTTAAAATGACTGTGGCTGAACTTCTGGTGAAGGCTCTGAATCATAACTTTGGAGGGTAACTATACCATCTTTTGACTCTGGGACACATTTCACCTAGTCGTTCAAAAATTGATCACTGTCTGGGTAGAAAAAAATTTGTAAGTAACTTCTAAATAAAGTTTAGCTTCAAAAGCTTTAAATATCCTATCTTTTTTTGTTATATTGTTGTAGGTTTGGATCTGATGAGTTGAAAAAACAGTTCCTCGTCCCAACCATAGCTGGAGATTTTGTAGCTTGCTTGGGAATCAGTGAAGCTGGAGCTGGGTCGGATGTCGCAAGTAAGTTAACCTAGCAAATTGCCAATTTTAGTCAGCCTGGTGTCTTAAAGGAAATAATCTGGTTTTCCTGACCTTTCCCTTTGCCACTATCATTTGTAAGAAATACAAGAGGAAGGAAAGTCTGATGTGGTGAGGGTGAAAAGTAATATTCCAAGAGCAGTAATGCCTCTGATGCATCCAAAAGCAATCAAATTCAGTGTGTGTCAGTGAATCAATAGCTGTAACCCTGTGTGCACTGAGCATCACAGGTTAATATGCAGCTGTCATGCTGTCCCTGGATTCCTCCAAGCATTTTTCCTGCTGCTGCAGCCTCCCCTACTCTGTCGGAGCTCACCACTGTAGTTGCACTGCCACCCTCATTTGTGCAAACCTGCAGACGTGCGTGATAGGGTGCATGGCCCATTGAACTGTACTAAAACTTGCACTTCCTTAAACGAGATCTCTCCACTGAATGTGGGCAAAGTGCAGAGCTAGTCCGTTCTGAGAACATCGGCATCACACTTTCACAATGAGTTCCTCTCACTCATTCTTACCTCACCTCAGCCCCTTCCGTCATTCCTGTGAAGCAAAAATGGCTCTTAACTGGTGATTGCTTTGGTTTTAGCTAATTGAAGACTTTGCCATGTCATATCTATTGGCTTTGTGATCAAGTTATTGTACATACAACTATTTTTCTTGGTTTAGTGCAATAATAGGTTTAAAAACATGGACAAATGAAACTATTACTCTGAAGTGCCTGAGTCCATAGGTAATTTGAACAATTAAATTAAAACATACTGTAGAAAAAGTAAAAGATATTTCATTTGACTGAATTGTGGACTTCAAGAGAAAGGGAGAGACAAGACGGCACTTTCAGAGGTTTTGGTGTTGGACACAGGGTGGTTAAAGCTGCACACATTGTGCTCTTACAAATTACTGACACGTCTTCTTGCAGACAGAATCGCTGTGTTTCACAGAAGTTTTTGATCAGCAGAGCAGAGTCCTATGTCTATATCCTGGACCAAACTCATATTGGTTTTTTGCAAGACAAACAGATTCAGTGTCAGAGCAAAGGTACAGCAGATAGTTTTCAAGTGAGTTAATGGGGATAATGAAATAATGGAACTAATTGCTGTTTTCCTGTCTATTGAATTGATTTTGTTTATAAGAAAAAAATATCCATAATTTTTATAGACTGGTTTTTCATCGAAGTACTTAAAAGTTTGAATTTTTCTGATGTAGGAAATATATAGTTTATTTTCATTTATGGATCTCTAGTTTAATTAGATGATTATCAGTACTTGATAAATGTGATTTTTTTTAATGCAATTTTCCAGATAATAAGTAACACAGGTTCTATGATTCTAAATATTTTTAGCTGCATGTTGTTTCTCATCTAGTTTAATTTGAATGACACGCTTGGATTAATACAGTTGGAGAGAAGTTTGGAATTGACTAGGATTATCTGATGAACCCCGACTGCAGCTGGGAGGTAGACTGCAGGATGAAAAGGGTACTTTTTCACCTGTCACAGATGATCTGATCCCTGCTATAAATCTAGAAACCAGTTTACAGTGCTTCTAAAGGGTAACTCAACGGACCGCTTAGGCGTGAGGAGCACTAGCTTGTGTTCTCAGCAGCGCTGTTTTGCGCAAGGCAGGGAGATCATATCGTCTGCAGGTGAACCGGTTTTAAAAGAAAGTGAACTGTGTGCAACTGCTCTTGATACTTTGGTTTCTCATGTTACTAGGATGTTTGTCTCCCTTAAATAAATGAAGGACTAGTAAAATATAGGGACTGTTCACATGTGAAGCTTCTGCCATGCAAGCTGCTGTATTTTAAACTGAAGAATACACAGAGTAAGGTATCTGTAGCAATTTCTTCTGCCAGTTCCAAAACTATCAAAGGTGATGGGAACACAGGGCGGGGGGGGAAAGGCTCTTCTCTACATGACAAGTGAAAGGCACACAGAATTAATTTATTCAAAATCCAACAGAACAAAATGGACTGTGTATTTCAGTCTGATATAGATTTCAAGTCAATTTGAAGAAGCACCTGTCTGCTTTCAAATGCAGTTGTATATTGTAGGTAGTATTGACTGTATAAAAAAAAAAAAAACCCAAACAAAAAAAACAAGCACCAAGATGACTTGAGAGGCAGAACAGTACAGAGCATTTGGGATAGAAAGTGTCTGTCTTTATTTTCATGATTCTTGATATCACAGAGCATACATATTCATGTTGTTTTTGATGATTTTGTCTCATTCTGTCTCACTACCAGTCCTCAGTTTATATAATGTTTTGCTCATAGTTTTGGGGAGATGTTTAAGAACACATTATGGAAGGAACTTTCTCTGTTCAAGTTACATCTTCTAGGAAACTGCACCAAGTAACCCTATTCATGTCTACCTTTTCAGCTTAGACACCCTACCCCTTTTCCTCTCAGTGGAATTACATCTTTCTGCTCTTCTCTGTTTATATCATTGTACGTAGTGTCTGTAATGGTACAAATGCTTCTCCAACCCTCACAGAAATATTACCCTCCAATATGTACTGTTACGCAACATTTTGCTGGTTTGTGAATCGTCATCAACTATGCACATCATCTCATTAGTGGTTTTCTATGAAATATTGTAAGATGGAGAAATCTTTCTTATTACTTTCTGCCTAAGTATGTGTACTTGCCATGTTGAATTTGAAAACTCATGATCATTCCTTTCTTGCTGGGCAATACCTGAGTTGTCCATTAGTGTATTCCTATTCTGCTTTCAAAGGTCATTAATGGAAATATTAAGTAGGTTCCAAAGGCTGATAGCCAAGGAGGGGTTCCAATAGTACCCTCCCTGCATATCAGCGCTTCTTCTTTTAATGTAACCTGATGCAATTTCCCCTTTGCCAAGTTCCTTACCCACGTTTCCACTTTTGTCCTAACTCTTATGTTTTAAAAAAATTTAATTCATAGTTTCCTAGTAAGATCATATTTTAGTTTGCTTGGGTCCAACAGGATTTTTCCTGTTCTGGTTTTCTCTAGAAAATCCATTTTCATAATAAACAAATCAGGTTGCTTTGAAATACAATACCACTAATAAATTGAATTCTTTTCTTTGCAAATGTGTTCTGAGGCTGTGTAAATTGCCAAAACCAACAACCTCTGTTTTCACTGATTTTAATTTCTGTACAGCCCTTCCTGTAGATGTCTTGATTTGTCAGCTGTATTACAAATCTTTTTGTAATGTCATGTGAAATATTTCTTTAGTTCTGAGACATGCTCTATATGCCTCATGGTTTGGCGCTTCCCTCCCCACCCCACCCCCCCCACAGTCTCTTTTCATGTCTGTGGCTGAAACATTTGTGTTTGCTGCCTCAATCTTCTTGGATTTTTTTTGTTTGTTTTTTGTTTCATCAGCAAGATGTAACTTAGTTTGAACTGTGGCAATTCTCATCTTCTGACTTCCAAACTGTTGCTTACTTCGAATGATTAGTCTTTTTCCTTTCCTGTAGACAATCTCCTGTTTTTTGAAGCTTTGTTTTTTGGTGTGATTTGTTTTTTGGTTTTTGTTTTGTTTTGTTTTTCCCTGTGTTGATGATATAAATTCCAGATGTATTATTTTCATTTTTGACTTTAAGGATATGTCTTGTCTATCTTTGATCTTAAGATTGACCTTAAAAGTTGAAGGCAACATTGCCTTTTGTCAAATCTGTTTGGATGCATGGCTGGACTCGAGCATAGTGGAGAAGAAAACTTGAGTCTCAAGTATGTTGTGATTTGAATGGTGAGATGACCAACCCTCGTGGCTTACATGGCACTAGCTAAATCATATGCCTTTCGATGACTCCTTGCTCTGTAAGCCGTTGTGTTATAGACACCACAGGGCCAGTGATGTGGACCTGCCAAAAATGAGTTATGGACCACCCACTGAAGTAGCATTTTCTGAGATCTATGCTCTATCAGGGAGAATAATTACAGTCAAGTATTCCAAAGTATTTTCAGAGCCATATCCTCGAGACTGAGTCCTCTTGACCTTAGTAAATTAAGTAGGTTTTCAAAGCCTGCTGTATTTTAAACATAAACTTACTTACTGACCTAGTCATCTTTCTTCTAATCAAAGTTGAGGAGAGTCAGCTCTTCATACCTTCATTTTAAATATTCAAATACTTCAGAACTGAAGGAAACTGTCAACCATAACATTTGGGAATACTTGAACATTTCCATTAGTAAGGCATTTGTTCTTTAATCTGTATTTGGGTGGTTAGTCCCCTGTGACGCCATGCTTGCAAGAACTATTTACATTTGTGATAACATCACAGTACTTATTGTTCCTCTGCAGACCTTCCCTGGGACCTCTATCTAATCTCTTCAGTAGCTGTTCCACAACAAAAGGATATGTGATGTAAATCACTGTAATGCTCCCATCCTTTTCACACTACTTCAGTACCATGTCATATTTCTTATTCTACCTCTTGTGTGTCCTTCATTTATTATTTAGTCTTCCTGTATATGATTGTGCAGTGTCTGTGTCCATGCGTTACAAGCATCAGTACTTTAGGTTCCTTCAATTTGTTGGCCTTCATTATTATAAAGATTACATATCAAGGCCCTTGGACAGATTTGGCATAATCCTTTCATTGATGGAATAGTTATATAGCTACTGGGTTTATACACACTAGTACTATCTCTTTCCC